ATTCCAGAACATGAGAAGAGAAAGGAGCTCCCGGAAAGTGATAGCAAGAATTTTGAAAGGTCAAGATGCCACAGGGCTGTGGATTTTGGGAGGCATTTTCTAGAGTTGCACAGGCCAGAAAGGGAACGAACATGGGTGAAAGTCTAACCTTGTTCCTTAGGAAGAAACATGGCGTGAAGGGGAACTCTATCTGTGTAGGCTACCCTGAGGATTGCCTGACCTACCTCCATTCTACCCTTGCCAGAGACACTTGCAGTGAGGAAAATGCTGCCCCTGTGTTAGGGAGAACAACTTCACGCTGGACCTCACAAGCCAGGGCCCGTTAGGCCTTCCCTTTGGTCGTTTCCCTGGGTTCTGTTACCTGGGATCACTTGGGGTAGAAAGGCAAGGACAGGAAGAGCCAGCAGCAGAAGTCTCATGGTTCTTGGGAAGTAGTAGGTGGCAGACCCAGGCATCCAGAACACTGGGTACAGTGTGACTCTGATCAAGAGTTTTATTGGGTTTTCAGTAGTGGGGGCAGAGGGCTGTGCATTGAGCCAGAGAGAGATGTACAAGCGTATCCAAGCAAAACATCAGAAACTGACCCTGAGAGCACATGCAAAGCCTGCAAGTCCCAGGCCTCGGGGACATGTTTGGGAGTCTGGAGAGGGAGAACTCACCCTAGGGCTCCCTCACCAGTGTCTCCAGCCCTCTCAGCGACCCACCACATGCCCACAAGCACCCTCACTCTAGTCTAAGTCTGCTCTCGAGATCTCTGCTGCATCCAGGTGTGGTGGTACACATCTTTAGTCCAGAGGCAGGCAGATCTCTGAGTTAGAGGCCAGCCTGGTCTACAGAGAACGTTCTAGGACAGCCAGGGCTACACAGAGAAACCCTGTCTTGAACTGCCTTCTTCTCCCTCCAAAAGATCTCTCCTCATCACGGTCTCTCTACAAAGCCCCAGAGGCACAAAGTGTGTGCTCAGTGGAGGTTTCTGGAAACAAAAGGCAATAAACACATGCTCATATAGAAAATGAAGTGTTCCCCTACATTCCAACAGGGAAAGTGACTTGATAGTAGAGTTGACTTGCCATAGAGGGTGGGGAACTCAGTGTACCGTGTGACTCCAACAGGAGGCCGTACAAGTAAACCACTGTTGCCAAGAATGCCACAAGGATGCCACGGGGACACTTCAGGTCTGGGCATTATTTGCAAAGACCTCAGCATCTAGGTATCCCTTTGGGATACATAAAACTGGTCTAACCTTCAAGGTAGCCGTGTCCCATAGCCCTTTAGTCACCCCCACTAAGGCTCTGTGTTTACCTATGAAGCCGTGGAGGTGGAGGCTGTGTTCGCGCTGCTCTTGGTTGTGAAGACGGTGTTCATCTTCCCGCCAATGGAAGAGTGGTAGGCGGGTGGTTCATTGACTTTACCATTAATTCAATCGTGACGTTGGTGGTTTGAGTTTGAATTACAGAAGCAAATGCTTCGAGTCCAAACCTAATCTGGCTACCTCAGTGGTTGTGGTAGAAGAGATGTCCGTGGAGACTATGGAATAAAATGCTGCTGAAATTCAATGTAGCCCCCAGAAAACCCTGGCACACTCTGGGCTGGGGATCTCCCAGCAGGAGTCTTCAGATGATCATGAGGACTACTCTTGTTAAAAATCAGACTCTGGATTTAATAAAAAGATTTTTATTTTTACTTATCACCTGTATTTGTGAATGTCTGTTTGTGCTCAAGAGTGCAGTGTCTGAGGAAGCCAGAAGAGGGCGCCAGCTCTGGAGCTGGAGTTACAGGCGATGGTGACCTCCTGACAGGGGTTCTGGGAACTGTGGTCTCCTTTAAGAACAGCAACCATTGAGCCATCTCTTCAGCTCCCAGACTTCAGATTTAACTGTGCAGCTTGGTGGGACTTGGGGCTAGCTCAGTCCACAAAGTACGAGACTCTTAATTCTGTGGTTTGTAGAACTCCAACCCAAGTGCAACTCTCCAACTCAGTTTCATCATGTGAAAACCAAAGCTTTGGTGAAGGGTGAGACCCTGACATGCAGCAGGTATGTGACATCAAGTGAAATGGAGGATTTGGGATCTTTGCAGTCTAGAAGTCAGGCAGTTTGCCTGAGAGCTTTTTCATGACAGCGTGACCTAAGACCAGCCTTGTAAATCGATGGCTGTTCTCTTAGACCCACTTCAATGGTCCATATGACTGCTGGACCATGCTGGGGGCAGAGCTGAGGCTGCTAATTTCTTTAAGCATAACGTGCAGAATACATATGGGGCCAGATTCTAGAGTCTGCTGGATTTTTCTTTTTGTATGATAGTTCAAAATATTTATTAATTTACTTTATTATTATCATTACAGTTATCATTATTGTGTGTACATATGTATATATGTTTGTGTGTGTGTGTGTGTGTGTGTGTTGGGGGGGAGGAGGTGAGTGTGTCTTGGTGTATGTGTGAAGGTTCAAGACCACTTTGTGGAGTCAATTCTGTTTCTTTCTTTCCATCTTTATTGGAAACCAGGGATTAAACTCAGTTCTTTAGCCTTGCCAGCAAGTGCCTTTACCTGTTGAGCCTGAGTCTACTAATCACCACCCTCTCCCAGTGTAAACCACCACCACCACCTGGACTTTGGAACGAAGATCCAGGAGGGTGGGACCTGGAGTAAACGTGAGACTTTTTTCTTCATTCTGGTTCACTTTTCGTGGGATCCATTCGGGTGTCTGGCGTGGTGTCTGGGTGGACATGCCCCTTCTGAAATCACTGGCATCTTCTGGGCCACACCTCAGTAGGTGCTCAGAGAACCTGTCAGCAGGGGCAATGGTGCTTCCGAGACAATTGTAGCCTTAGGTGGGCCCGAACTTGACAATTGTAGAATCGTTTTATCTGACAGTCCTCCAGCCACTGCACAGCTCTGGTGAGGACTACATGCCAGCCCACGGCGCCATCTTCAACATCTCCCCACCTCCCCTCATTTTTACGTGTACAGAAAGGCAACTGCAGCCCTCTCCATTCCTTTTCTGAGCATCCTATTAAGTTTGGCCTGGATGCTCCTGGATGCTCAGCCTGTCACTATGTGGCTGTGGTCAACTTCAACTCCTCCGTGGTTGTGTTTTGCCAGCATCTCTTTCTGCAGTTTGAGGGTGGCCTGGTGGCTAATTTCACACAGTTGTTCCCTCCTTATACCCTGCCAGCCTCTCTCAGTTCTGTAGCTGCCCTCCCCTGGCTTTTTGCTAGCTTTGGGTTGCTCCTTTCCGGGCATTTTCTGAGGAGATGTCACTTGGTATTCAGCTACATTCTCTTTTCCCACGGAAGTGCCCACCTTGTGTCATCATAGGTCCGGTTAGAGAGGAAATGTCCAATCTGTTCTTAGCAGTTTTCTAAAAGCCAGCCTCTCAGTGGAGTGCAGGTTCTAAATTGGTGGATAAATACTTAGAAGTTGGATTGTTGGATCATTCAGTAATTTGATTTTTAGTCTAATAATTTTTGTTCCTGTCCCCAAATTCTATAGGACCACTTTCTGTAATGGCTGTTCTAATTTAGATTCCCAGATGTAGTATGAGGAATTTACTTATCCCCGCCTCCTCTCAAGTTTATATTTGTGTTGCTTTTGACATTAGCCATTTCGACAGGTGCCAGTGACAGCTCAGTGAGGTTTAACTTGCATGTCCCTGCTGATTTAGGCATGGTTTTCATATACCTGTTTGCCACTTGTGTGTGTTCTTTACAGAAATGTCCATTGAGACCCCTTTCCTGTTTAAAACCCACACTCATTGTTTTCTTTCTATAGAGTTTATTCTTTTATATTCTGAGAATGAAAATACTGTCTCCCTGTCTGGAGTTTGTCGCCTCAGGTTTCTTGGTGTTGCCTTGACTGTACAGAAGCACTTGAGTTCGATGTAATCCCCCGCTGCCTATTTTTGCTTCTGTTTTCTGATATTCTGAGTAAAATTTAAAGCATTGTAGTATAGACTAGGGACTGTGTTTTTTCTTATATTTTTTGTTGTGAGCCTAGCCTTTAATAGCAGAGTTATCTCTCCAGACTAGGGACTGTGTTTTTTCTACCATGCTTTCTTGCAGTCATTTTGTAGTTTCAGGTTGATGCTTTGGAGTCTATGTGAAGTTGGTCTTTGTAAGTGATGTAAGGCAAAGGTCCGGTTTCATTCTTAGGCATCTATCCATATCGTCTAGCTCCAGTTTCCCAGCATCATTTATTAAAGAGACTGAAGGGCATTTTGTATCTTCTTCCAGCATGTTCTCTCTCTCTCTCTCTCTCTCTCTCTCTCTCTCTCTCTCTCTCTCTCTCTCTCTCTCTCTCTCTCAGACACACACACACACACACACACACACACACACACACACACACACACTCACATACACAGGACTGAACAGAAAGTCTCACACAGCCAGGTAAGAATTCTGTCATGGAGAAATTCCCCAGCTCATTTTTCTCAAGCAAAGTGGGCAGAAGGACCCACCCCCCCGCCCCGTTTCTCTCGGCAGGACATCAGACAGAAGTGTAGGAGGAAAGGCAAACAGGGTTACATGCCATGGACTAGTTATAGGTATTTTCCATGTTATGAAAAGAACTCTTTGTGTCCCAGTAGGTGTGGGTAACAACAAACAAACACGCACCAAGGAGTTTCCCACACTGAACTAGAAGGCAAATGTAAGACAAGCTGTGCTTGGTGGCTTCCCATCCCCCTTTGAAGGCAGACAATCAGACGGGGACACGGAGCCACAGACAAAGGCAGACAATCAGACAGGGACTCGGAGCCACAGACAAAGGCAGACAATCAGACAGGGACACGGAGCCACAGACAAAGGGCACAAGCAAGGACGCCCAGAACAAATGGCTTGTCTTGGGTGAAACAGTTTGGTGTTTATATTTGAGGAATGTCTGTGGAGTGCTGAAAGTTTTCTCTTTCCATCTAACTTTTAGAATGTTCAGCACCGATTAGGTTGGTGCTTTGGCACCTCAAGGTCAGCCGCCAGCCCCGAGAGAGTAGAGATGAGAGTCAGCAGAAAGGAGGTTACGTATTTAATGGGCTCATGGGAGGGACTGGAGCTGGCAATCCCTGCTCTGCAGAGGACCAACCTATTTCAACTTAACCCTAATTCGTTATTGTTCACAAAGACCATGGCTGGCACAGTTTTGGAATATTCTTTGAAATTATGACCAAACGTTTTTGTGGGTGTCTGCGGCAAAGAGTCCACCTTGCTCACAGTGCAGCAGTAGTCCCCGTTGCTGCAAGGCTTTTTCACCTGCTCCCCAGACTTGCAGTATTTCCTGCAGTGTCCTCTTATGACCCAGCAAGCTTTGCGGCACCTGCAGACTGACAAGAGTAAGAAAAGGCTGTTAGTCCAAGATATGGGGGCCCGTCCGAAGGGTCCACTGGACCACTGCCTCTGTTATCTCCACAACAGCCCAGACCTGGACTCAGGAAGGAGGTTATGCAAGCAAGGCAAAGAAAGGCTGGGTTATGCCGTATTCTCAAAGATCTTACCTCCAACGCCGAAGGAACTCACTAGCTAGCAGGAGCTGGAATGACTTAGTAAGAAGCTGTGTGATTATGTAAAGTAGGTGCACAATAGACTAGCTTCACTCTGCGCCAGCTGAGTTGTTATTCCACAGATACAGAATTCTAACTCCAACAGGCTCTACAGTTTGTTATTTGTTTGTTTGTTTTGAGACAGGATTTTTTCTGTGTTGCCTTGGTCCTCCTGGAGCTAGCTCTGTACAGCAGGCTAGCTTCAAACTAGCTTTGAACTAAGAAGACCCCCTGCCTCTGCCTCCTGAGTGCAGGGATTAAAGGCTTGCACTACCACTGTCTGGTTAGGCTCTACAGTTGTCAGAAATGTGTTACTAATTTTTGCTTCAGGAAGAAGGAAGCTTTTGGAGGTGGTGAGGGAGTTTAACGTGCTGTGGTGTTTGAAGGAACCCCCCCCCCCATGGGCTCATATGTTTGAATATTTGGTTCCCAGTTGACAGGACTGTTTGGGAAGGATTAGCAGGTGTGGCCTTCTTGGAGGAGGTGTGTCACTGGTGTGACTTTGAGGTTTAAAAAGACCACACCATTCCTGGTTAGCCATCTCCCTTCACAGTTGTCATCTCATCATGAGAACTCTCAGCTCTAGCTTCAGCTATATGCCTGGCTGCAGCCATGTTCTCCCCATGATGGCCATGGACTCATGCTCTGAAACTGTAAGTCTCCAATTAACTCTTTTATCTATAAATTGCCTATGTCGTGGTGTCTCTTCTCAGCAATAGACAAGTAACCAAGGCAGATATAGACTGCAGTAATGATTTTATATTCACCTCCAAATCCACCCACCAGCACACATTAAATACATATTTCTCCCATGTATCAATCATAACCTGATAAAGTGGCTTTAAAAATGATATGGCAATAAAATTAAGTCAGCATAGGATATCTGAGAAATACAATTGTAGAAAATCATTTATTGATCCCCACTTTAAGATTTGCTAAATCCTAGATTGCTAGGACCTAGCTTTGGGTTGGCCAAGCAGAATGGACTTGAAAATGAGTCCTTCTGATGATCAGCAGATGATGTTGGTGGTGGGGGCTGGGAGAATCTCTGTACTGTAAATGAAGCCTGTAGCATCTTTGGAAGACCACACAACAGTAAATTCTAAGTAGATGGCGCCCTTCTTAAAGAGTCCAAGGCTGAAACATTGTTACAGAAAGAAACAGGTCTGTGAAAGGAGCGTTGGTAACCTCACAGGAAACATCTGGGCGCCCCAGGTCTCATCTGTCAAAATCTGTCTGTTGCTGCTCTAGAGAGATGGCTGAGCAATTAAAAGCACTAGTTCCCAGCACCCACATGGTTAACCACAACTGTCTATACCTCTATTTTCAGGACATCTGATGCCTTCTTCTGACCTTACATAACACATTCAGGCAAAAACAACCATATACATAAAATAAATAAACCTAAAATTTCTTCTTAAAATCTGGGCGTTGGTTGTTTAGTGGACCTAAATGGACTTTCTAATGAAATACTTTTTAATTAAGAATGAAATAATCAGAAGACACATCCAACATCATCATCCATTTGCAGTACCTGCATATTGAATCAATAACCACAAAGGTTCTCCCTGAATCACAGAGGTTTCCATCGGTGTCTATCCATTGTACCAAGTGATGGCTCGCACAGACGTTGTCTTTCACAGTGAGCATGTACTTGGACTGTATTTACCACCCCATTCGCTCTCCTTAGTCCCCCTTCCTCCTTTCTCTCAGTCTCCTCCCTTCCCTTGGTCTCCCTTAAGTTTTCATACCATCTACAGACAAATAGAAACAGCTTATGCATCTATAAGGTGTTCTAAGACCCACAAATGAGACAAAGTGTGATATTGGTCTTTTGTGTATGACTTACTTTGCTTGAGATGATTCCAATAATTTTCTGGAAAAAGATGTAACTTTAATTCCTTTTAAAAGTCAAACTCAGTTGTGTATATCTACCACCCTTTGCTTATCTGCTGACAGAGATCCAAGCTGGTTCTGTAACCTGACTGTTCTAAGCAACTCTGCATTGAACACCTCAGTGCGGAATATCTCTGGCATTTCGCTTTAGAGACCTTCATGTACACATCCAGATGTGGTGCAGCTGGGTCATGTGTTAGGTCAATTTTTAGGGCTTTGAGGACTCCCTCATATTGATTTCCACACTGGCAGTACCAATTCATCCTCCCACCAACAGTGTGCATGGATCCCCACATCCCTACAACATTTATTATCTGTTGTCCTGTTCTAAGATGAGATGAAACCCCAAAGTGTTTTCTTTATTTCCCTCATGGCTAAGGATTTACAGGGTTTAGAAAACTGATGTCTTGGAACTCAGTACTTAACCAGCAGTGGCTTCTATTCACTACCTCAGGGGTGTGGTGACGCACACCCCCAATCCCAGATTCAGAAGGCAGAGGGATATTGAGGTTGAGATGAGCCTGGGGACTGCACAGCAGGTGCTGTCTTCAAAGGGAGGACACAGAGTTGGGTGGGTAGGGAAAGGGGATCTGGGAAGTGAGGGGAAGGGGACTGAATATGATCAAAATAAACTGCAAAATTCTTGAGGAACTAATAAAAATTACCTCCCTCCAAATTTACTGCCTTATGTAATTTAAGAGAAGCCACATATAACTTTAATTTAAAATGTCATTTAAGTGTCAGGATGAAAATAGGTGAAAAGAGACAGCTAGAGAAAATCTAGATAATTATGTCAAATACAAATCTAGCAGATACAGGAACTCCTATCAGGAAGTGCCAACTGAAATGTTGAGTATATACTGCCAAGATAAATATTTTAAAAGCTGTGCAATTGCACATTCACTAAAAGGAACTACATTCCCATACATATTTGTGTGGATTCAAATATGCACAAGGAAAAGGCTTCAACATAGCAGAAGAGCAGTGTCATCACATTTCTAAGCACCATCCAAGTCTGTACAAACAGTAATCCCCACACTCTGACCAGTTCTTTATGAAATTATATTGTAAATCATTAACCAAACAGTAGACTCTCATGGCTGAAAAGCAGTGAGGTCTACATTCTCTCTCACACGACTGCTCTGTGGATGCTCTTATCCCAGAATAGGGGAACAGGGACTTCAGAGGAAGCAATAATAGAACTCAGCGTCTAAGGCAGGCTGGTGGAGACTGGGAAAATTGCTGAAGTAAGACAGCCCTTGGCACAATCATTAGGGCATTGATTGAAGCAAAGTAGCAGGGGAAGAGCTGAACATGAAAGGGGCTTCTTAAAAGACACCCTGCCCAACCCCACCGCTCCAGGGATGCTGCCAGATGCACTCTCAAGCATTCTGCTCAGGTCAGGTAGTCCAGCAGATCTCAGCCACCCCAGAGGACCGTGCGTACGATGGATGGGAGGAAATCAAACCTCCTACTGGCAGCTCCCCCACTGAACCCTCTCAGCCTTTTTCCTGGGTTCTGTTTACCTGGAAACATCTGGAACAGGATAAAAAATACCATAAGATTCAGGAGCAAGTATTTCATGATCTTTGAGAAGGATGCGGCACTTCCAAGAGTCCAGAACATTCTGTTATGTGGCTCTGGACTCAGTTTTTATTTGCTTCCATGGGGTGGAGTCCAGAGAGTGAGCCATGAGTAATGAATGATGCAGAGAAAAGACAAAGAGCATTGGTTCTTGGCAAACAGCACTAAGTGATTGATTGCTACTCAAAGGCAGAAGAATGGAAGAGAAGTGAAGAAGCATCATGAAAGTAAACACAGAGAAGACGTGTATACTAGGAAGCCTCCTTTCATGCATGGGAGTGTCATTGTATGGCAACATGTGCAACATTGCATGGAGGTCAGCTGAAGATTCCTGGGCAGAAACTGCCCTTTTACTGTGTTTCTAAGGATAAAAATGTCAGTGTAGGTGCCTCATGAAAAAATGTTTTAATGACACGAATGGACGTATTTTTATGCAATGTTAGGCAACAGAACTCCAGAGCTCACTCTTCCTGTAGCTGAATTCCCTGAGGCTAACCTTTCTCCAGCCTCCTGACCCTTGCTCTCCCTAACTTCAGGAGACTATTCTACTGTCCATCCCATGAGCTCAGCTTTTGATACCCTGCATGCGATTTCCCATCACAGTTGATTGGAGACAATTTCTCCTCAGTGTGTGTTCTCATGGTCTTTGTTGAAGACATATATAGCCATGCTATTGGAGAGGGGCCTTACTGCTCTGTGCTCTCCGATGGTTCTATGGATCTGTTTTCGTACCAGTACTATGCTGTTTTAATTACAATAGCTTTGTAGCATATTTTGCAGTCAGGTAGTAATACATTTCTAAGCTTCCAGATTCCTTTTTCTTTTTTTTTTCAGTATTGCCTTGGAGAGAGAGAGAGAGAGAGAGAGAGAGAGAGAGAGAGAGGGAGGGAGAGGGAGGGAGAGAGAAGGAGGGAGGGAGAAAGGGAGGGAGAGAGGGAAGGAGGGAGGGAGGGACAGAGACAGAGACAGAGAGAGTTTCCACGCAGAGTTTTCTTCTGGTCAGCAATGTCGTTGGAGTTTTGATAGGGGTTCATTGGATCTGTAGGCCACTTTGAGTAGTGTATTAGTTACTTCTGTGTTGCTGCAACATGTCCATCCCTTAGATAAGGGATGGTTTGTTTGGGCTTATGGCTCCATCACTGCCCTGTCAGGGAGGCACAGCAGCAGGCAGACATGGCTGCGGGAGCAGGAAGCTGAGAGCTCTCACACTTCACCATAAGCATACCCTTCACCATCACCATAAGCACAAAGCACAACTACAGGTAGGGTGAGACCATGAGCTCTCAAAGCTGGCTCCTAGTGCCGTACTTCCTCCAGGAAGGCCACACCTTCCAAACAGTGCCACCAACCGGGGACCAAGAGTACAAGGACACGACCTACATTAGAAATTCTCATTCACACCAGTAGTATGGACCTTTTAGCAATACTAAGTCATCCACACCGTGGGCATGCAGTGTCTTCCCACTCTGTCCTTCTCTCTGTCACCAGTGTTTTACAGTGCTCATTGTGTACATTTGTGACCGTTTGAGTCAGGCGTCCTACATAGTCTCAGGTGTTGAATGCTGGGTGCTCGTTGGTGGCGCTGTCTGGGTAGACCCAGGAGGTGGGGTCTCCCTAGAGGAAGTACATCACTGGGAAAGGGCATGGAGGTTTCCAAAGTCACACAACGCCATCCCCAGTTCACTCCCCGCCAAGTGTTTGTGGATCAAGGTGTGAGCTCTCAGCTTCCAGTTCCAGCTGCCATGTTTGCCTGCTGCTCCCCTTCCCTGCCATGCTAGGGATGGACTCTAAACCTCTGGAACCATAAGCCCCAAACAAACCCCCTTCCTTAAACTGCCTTGGTTGTTGTATTTTATTACAGCAACAGGAAAGTGACTAAGGCCAAGCCTTTCTCCTCTTTGGTTTAAATGAGTGGAACATGCCAAGATTATATCTTATTGGATGCTTTAAAAAGGGAGGGGGGTGCGGAGAGGTGGCTCATCGGTTAAGACCACTGACTACTCTTTCAGAGGACCTGGGTTCAATTCCCAGCACCCGTGTGGAAGCTCACACATGCCTATAACTCCAAGGTCCGACAACGTCACACAGACATACACGCAGAGAAAACACCAAGGCATGTAAAATAAAATAAATTATTAAAAAAAGAATTTGAGCCGGGTGGTGGTGGCGCACGCCTTTAATCCCAGCACTCGGGAGGCAGAGGCAGGCGGATCTCTGTGAGTTCGAGGCTGGGCTGGACCGATAGCCTCCAAAACAATACAGAGAAACCCTGTCTCGTAAAACCAAAAAAAAAAAATTTGTGTCATATTTGTGCTTTTCCTTTTAAATGAATATACCTGGGATTTGGTGGACCCTTTCGATCTAATTATTTATACGTCTCTTCAATTGTGGAAATGTAAGAAGCCTTTCCCCCAAGACAACAGCTCCACCCTTTGTAATTCATTGGCCATTGTGAGCCCTCCCTCCTATTTGCCTTATACATCAACAGTTTAGTCATTGTTAGCATCCGCTGTTTCCCCCCTCACTGTGGTTTTAAATTGATTGTTCTGTTCTGAGTTCTAGAAGGTCTTTCTCCTGCTCTACCTGTACTTTCTTGAAAGTTGTTGTCGTGCCAACATCTAAACTTTCATCTGATCATTCTATTTGTTTTGCTTCATCAAGGATACAGTAGGAGTGAATAAATGGGCTCTGTCTGCACTCCTTGACCCTTTGGAGAGCCGGTAATCACAGGACAATAGCTTCTTAAAATACCAGGGAGGCACAGGCACTATGATGGGTGAATTGGTCCTAGAATTTGCATCCTGATCTGGAAAAACAGGGACTGATGGTCACATGCCCTCATCCCAGAGGGCCAGGGAGACAGAGCTAGGGTCTCCTCATCTTCAATCACATTCTTCATCTCATATGATAATCAAACAAATGCACATTAGGGTGGATTGGGGCATCTAAAACAGTTGACTGTCACTACTTCCCCTGGGCTCAGGGCTAGAATTCAGACCTACGTCATCTGTCGTCGGAGGCTCATGACCCTGATACACTTTCTGTGACACACACTTTTTAGCAGAGAGTTCCAGAGCCTCCCAAGACAGCATTTCCCCCACAGCTTCTCCAGCAGCACCGGGCCTTGTCTCATGAATCATCCCTTCTTCTTTTCCGGTTTTAACTTCTCTCTGCTGTTTCTTTCCCTTTCTCACAGAGGATCCCTTCTCTGCTCCTCATCCCTGTCTGACATCCCCAGAGCTCAGGGTTCTTATGCCCTTCAGCACTTAGTGACATGTTTCAGTAATTTCCTTGATGAGCTTCAGCTTCCACTTCAGATAATCAAATAATGATCTCACTATGTTTAGTGTGTGACCTAAGACACTGCTCTTTCTCTATTAGACCACGGTGGCAAGTTCACAAGAAGAGTTGGGCAGAACACGGGCGTGCACCTCCGTCTTGTGTGGAGACACTAGAGACAGTAGAGCTTGCTCCTCTTTGCCGAATTCTTCTCTCAGGTATGTGAATAGCCAGGCCGTGCTTTCCCCTGCATGATGCTCAGAAGCTGAGGCTTCTGATACTGGGGGTGTGGCAAACATATTGAGTATCTACTACTGTTTTGTTAAATTAATCGTTTAGCTTATTTCTTTATTGTGTGTGTGTGTGTGTGTGTGTGTGTGTGTGTGTGTGTGTGTGTGTGTGTTGACCAGAGGCCTCAGGAATGCTCTCCATCTTGCTGTTTGAGATATTGTCTCTCACTGACCTGGGGCTCACCGATTTGGCTAGCTTAGCTGGTCAGTGAGCCCTGGGGCCTCTCCAGCACTGGGATTAGAAATGTATGCCATGACATCTGGCTTTTTTCTGATGTGTGTTCTGGGGATTGAACTCAGGGCCCTATGCCTGCAACACAAGTGCCTTACCAGTTGAGCTATCATCCTGTCATCTCTACTGTTGTCTTATAACATATATATCTACATATATATATATATATATATATATATATATATATCTTAGTGACTTAAGGTGGCAGTAGACGTCTCTCTCAGTATCTGTGGTTCAAGGTGAGGCGAGTTTGGGCTGGGTGATTCTGGCTGTGACCTCTCATGAGGTTGCAGTTAGACATCAACTGGGGCAACAGTGACCGTAAGCCTCAGGGGGAACTGGAAATTGTTCCTTTATGTGGACAATAAGTTGGTGTTGGCTGCTGGTGGATGGCCTCTCCTTCTCTCCACCTGGAAATCAGGCAACAGAGATTTCCAGGAGGTGAAAACTTTAGAGACTTTGGGATGGGAAAGGAATTAACGGGTGGCAGGGACAGAAGCATGACTAACTATGGGAGATGGATAATCTTATTGGCATGAATGGAGTTAGCATCACCTAGGAAATTTGTAAGGCTTGTCTCCGTCAGGATTTCCAGAGAGGATCACTGAGGCAGGAAGACTGGACCTGAATCTGGGCAGCACTGTCCCATGGGCTGGGGACCAGGCTGTAATAACAAGAGGCCATAGGAGAACCCAGTGATGTGCCAATGTCCCCATTTCCGTCTGCTTCCTGTCCAGCATGTGAGAGCTTCTCCCTCAATGTCATGAGGGTCTTCCCAAGTACTGAAGGTGAAACAACCATGGACTGAGCCCTCTGAAGTTGTGAATCAAATTAAATCTTTCTTCTTTTAAAGGTTTATGCCAGGTATTTTGGTCAGAGTTTTGAAAAGCTAACTGGTACTTTGTTTGCCCATATCTGTCTCCTTTTTTAGTGAGTAGACTTCCATTGGCTCCAGGGAGATGACCTTGGTCCTACTCAGCCACTTCCCCCATTCTTAACCCAGAACTTTGCCACACAAGCTAGAGTCATCAGAGAAAGGAGCCTCAGCCGAGGAAGTGCCTCCGTGAGATCCAGCTGTAAGGCATCTTCTCTATTAGTGATCAATGGGGGAGGGCCCAGCCATGGTGGTGCCATCCATGGGTTAGTGGTCCTGGGTTCTATAAGAAAGCAGGTTGAGCAAGTAAAAAAAAAATGTAAGCAGCACTCCTTCACGGCCTCATCAGTTCCTGCCTCCAGGATCCTTCCCTGTTTAGTTCCTGTCCTGATTGCCTTCAGGGATGAACAGCAATGTGGAAGTGTAAGCCTTCTGGGAAGTGTTTCCGCCACAGAGAAGCTGTGTTCCAGAGGTGGCCAAAGTTGTACTATGTGCTGGCAGCCAGATTTGGTAATGTGTAAGAGTCACCCAGGTGGTATTGGTTTTCAGGGTTTCATAAAGAGGTCATGGAGAGCAGCTGAGGCTTGGCACTGTCAGAGGCCAGGAGAGGGCATTGGTAAAGGGACAGCCTCTGTGGCATTTGAAGGTCCAGGACTGAATGGGTCATGCAGAAAATTTGAGGCTTGGCACCATGAAGAGAGCCTATGAGAAGCTATTGGTGAAAATGCAGCAGTTGGAGCAGAGACCCCAGCATTTGGAGATGCCAGTACCATGGGATGACCACCAAGAACAGTAACAGAAGTGGAATGGAGCCAGCCGGAGTGTAGAGGACCAGCTGTGTGTGCTGCAGAGGCCAGAGCTGGAGAAGTGACCCGAGTTCCTTGGAGGATCCAGAAGATCATGAGTAAATTCCAGATAAATAGATACTGGATTATATTTATACCATTAGGAGATACGTTTTGCTTTGTTCAGATTGTAACCGTGTCCTGGATCTTCTCTCTTGAAGAAGGTATTTAATATAATTTTGGTTTTTACAGGAACTCACAGCTGAAAGACTTCAAACATTAAAAGACATTTGGGATTTTTAGAGAGATTGGGTATTTTAGAGAATGAAATCCTAATGTGCTTGAATTTGTAAAAACGGTGGGATTTTAAAGTTTTTTATGTTTTTAATGTGAGATTAGACCAGATCCCCACCCCTCTGCACAAAAACAAACTCATCAAATCAAAGACCTTATTTTTTATCTGAAACTTTGAAACTGCCTGAGGAGAGCTTGTGCAAATCACCCCAAGATGTAGGCAGTCGAGGCCTCGCTGAAAAGGGACTCCAGTGATTAGGAATAAGCTGAGGAGTTGGCAGGAGGCATTACAGAGTTTAGGAGGCTCTGTGTGGCCAAGGAGACAGTCACCAGAGTGACAAGGACAAGCCCTTTCTCATACACAGCAGATAGGGGGGTGGATGATGCTGCCTGTAGGCAGGGCAAGACTTCCTCTTCAGTTACACCTTTCTGGAAAAATTTGCACAGGCATGCCCATTGTTAATCTGACAATGAAGAGTAACTGTCGTACAAATTCTTTAAAAAATACATAAATAAAAATGATAAGCAAAAACGTCGCGTGACCCCGCTGTACCACTCTTGGGGACACACCCAATGGAGTCTAAGCAAGTGCATCTAGGTTTATTGCTGCAACAGTCACAATGGATAGGAAATGGTACTAACCTAGATGACCGTCAATAGGAAATGGAGAAAGAAAATGTGATACACATACATAATGGAATTACTCTGCCATAAGGAAAAGTTAAATCATAACACACACAGGAAACATAAAACATAACAGGAAAATGGATGGTACTGAAAATCATGTTAAATGAAATAAGCCAGCCTCACACATATACCATGTGACAAACCTCTCTCTCTCTCTCTCTCTCTCTCTCTCTCTCTCTCTCTCTCTCTCTCTCTCTCTCTGTGTGTGTGTGTGTGTGTGTGTGTGTGTGTGTGTGTGTGGTGAAACTAGAAAGGAAATCATGGGAGGGGGAAAAGAAGCCTTAAGGGTTGGGAAAGAGGCTGTGTGAGACAGCAGAGTAGAAGGGGCACTATTGGGGAGGAAGGGAGTCAGCTAGGGATGCAGGCGACACAGGGGAGGGCGGGGTAGATACAATCAAATTAGAACAGAGTAGATCCACATATGATGGAATCAATCAGTACATGTGCCAGCTTCACACATTAGTACATAAGGGCATAGAGATGGCTTGTTGGTTAAGAGCACTGGCTGCTCTTGCAGAGGACCTGGGTTGGACTCCCAGCACCCACGTGAGTTGTCAGGTGGGATGATAGGGAGCTTAGAAGGTGCATACATGTGTCTGAGTGGTACATATACATGTGATTTTGGAGGCCAGAGCTCAATGGGTGGAATCCTCATCTGTTGCTCTCCGCTTTGCTTTTTGAGGCAGGGTCTCTCACTGATTTGGCTAGAGTGGATGGCCATTGACCCCCAGGCACCGGGATTTAAAGCGTGTACCACCATACCAGGCGTCTTTTGTGGGTGCTAGGGATCTGAACTTAGTTCCTTAGGCTTGTGCTGGAAGTATTTACCAGTGGAGTACATGTCCCCGCTCCGCAACAGTTGTTTTAACCCCTGACCTTCCTCACACAGCTAAGTACTTTAATCCACAGAAGAAAGAGGCCACGGTGGTTGATACCGGAAGCAGCAATGTTCTTTTTGATGCCCAACTTGAGTTCAAATTGACACCCACATTGCTTGGGACAGCAATTCCTTTCAAGCTGGTCCCTGTATCCATTTACCCAAACTCACGTATATCCTAGAAGCTTCCATCTAAAATGACAACTCTGCTTCATAAATATCATGAGTAGTGCCATTTGTCTTCATTATATACAAATGTGGTTATTGACTGGCATTTTTTTTTTACTTTCCCCCTGAATGACAACTACCACCTCCTTTTTCCAACAAAGTTTTGAGAACTTTTAACCACCTAACAAATTATGCCTTTCAATAGATTGGCCAAACCAAGCAAACAATACAGAGCTGAGCTCAGTGAGTCATCAAAAGAGAGCAAGTGTAATTCCTCTGGGAATCTGAAAACACTAGCAGCCATTTCTCCAGGAATCTGTGAAGTACTGGGGATTTTTAAACATTGTAGCTGTTGATGGCTTTGGTCTGATGTGTGTTCCGAGGTGTTTTTATTTGAGGACTCCCATCATAGTGGTAGGAAGGGAACCCTGGTTTTTGTCCTGCTACAGCAATCCCTCTAGGCTTGAGTGATGGTTGGGGTAAAGGAGTTCTCTTAGTTTAGATTTTGTGAGCAAAGTCCAGGCCTGTGCTGCCAGGTCCAGTACGCAGAGCTGCTGCCCCCCGGAGGTCAGCTTCGGAATCACAGGACGCTCAGGCTAAGATGCTGCCTGCCTCTTGGAGTTCTCCCTGGGTCTCAGAAAGGAATTTCTGTTCGATTTTGAACTGGCCCGAGAGTTTATATTTCCTTTTGTTCTGTGAAGCTTTCTCTGTGTGCGAATCTGATAATTGAGATACCGAGTGCGGTACGCTCGAGGAGTGTGGAGGTCTCTGTCTCCTTGAGGCTGCTGGGGCACCGGGCATTGCGGAAGCCTCCGCTCTTTGACAGCTGAGTAGACACGCTAACTGTGAACAGAACTTCCTTTCCAGATGGTCTCTTGGTTACTAGAAAGGGTGTAAAGGGTTCATTGACTCTGAAAACACACTAGCAAATTCCTAATGTTATAAATTCATGGAAAATCTCCTGCCCAGGGAGGTGGTAAGCGATTGAGGAATTGAGCGACCAGGTCTGCTTTCTAACATGCAAACACAGTAAGTCAATTAAATAACCGTCTTTCAGAGGCAGTCAGGTGTCTACTTGAAAAAGTGCTTTGCAGGTAAAGACACTACCTAATTGTTTAAAATCGTGTATCATTTCCCACATCAAAGCATCTTAGCACTGAAATATACTTTAAAAAATCTTCATTTATTTAGTATGTACAAGTGTTTTGCCTGGATGTATGTGTGCACCACATTATGCCTGGTGCTTGTGGAGGCCAGAAGAGAGCATCAGAACCCCTGGAGCAGGAGTTACAGATGGTTGTGAACCTTCATGCAGGTGCTGGGAATCCAACCCAGGTCCTCTACAAGAGCAGCCAAGTGCTCTTTACAACGGAGCCATGTCTCCAGCCCCTAAATACATACTTAAAACTCAAAATTTTGCTCTTTTTAAAAAAGGATGGTTCGGTAGGCTAAACTGACACCACAGAAGGTTAAAAAATGATTTAATTTTATTTTTCATGAAGTTTACTTCTGCTAGAAATGAAGGCATTTTATGATCTTTCAGAAGTGAAACAGCAAATATACAACAAACATGTGCCGATCCGATCAAAATCTCAAAGAGCTTCAAAATCATTTTAATGGTGTCTACTTGAAAGAGCTTTCAGATGAGAGAAAAAGCTCTAATATTACTTAATAACCTCACGGTGTTCCTCTGTAGGGGACGTGAGGAACACAGACAGACCATTGCTAGGTTTATGAGTAGCTGGAAATGCCATCAAGATCTCCCTTGTGAGAATACATGGTTGAGAGATTTTTATAGTGATAGTGAATTCCCATTAATGCTCCAGGCAGGGGAAGTGTTTTTATTTTTATTGTTTGATGAAGCGTGGATTAAAAGAAGTCTGTATTTATTCTCTTTGAATTTGTCTCTGTGGGAAAGAGAAATACAAGAGATTTTTAGTTTGCCTGAAACTTTTAAGTTATCATTTTGCAAACCAGTTGAAGTAAATCCACAGATTGCTCACAGTTGACTTGAAGATTGGACAGGTTTTTGTTATAATAAATTATCAGAGTGTAGGAATGTAAATACAAACATAAGCAGGTCTTCGAGTAAATGGAGTCATGATTTCAGTATATGGCACCTGTGAACTTGGTTCTCACAAATCCTAGGCAACATTTCACCTATACACACATTATTAATGTGGGTATTTACACCACTGGCTAGAGGTAGGGGGCTTTGTTGTGCGTTTGCTTGGTTTTTTGAGTTTTTATTTTCTCTCTTCCCTTGTTTTGCAGTTCAGCTGTCCTTGAACTCACAACTGTCATCCTCTTTGGGATTCCACACGTGAGCCACCTTGCAGCTCAGGGTACAGTTTTATGGTGTCCTTTTTCCCCATCAAATTATTGTTATGGACTGCTGATGCCAAGCTTCATAAAGGCTCTGCTTGACAAAGATCACAGTGCTTGGACGACTTGGACTGATCCTTCACTGCCCTTAATGGAATTTGCTGAACAAGTCTTGTCTATGTCTTTGGCAAGCTTAATGTTTGAACTCCTTGCTGTTAAGGTCTGCTTACTGAAGGCTAGAACTGTAATGTAACAATTCTTATGAAAGCTGATGTTACCGAAGGCTGGAACTAAGACAATGTAACAATTCTTATGAAAGCTGATGTTAGTAAAAGAAGAGTAAAACTTATGGTGATTCCCTGGGAGAATTAGTTGTACAAGCAATCAAGTCTTCTATAGAGTTTACTGTGTAAGTGGTATTAGTAAGTATAAGACATAGGATCTGGAATAAACTGTTAAAGAAGATCTTAGGGAAATTGTAGAAGCTGAGAAAAATATGTGTTTTGTTTCAGAAATACAGAACTAGCATGAACAATAACAAAAAGGATTCTTGGTTATAAAAATCAATGACAGGCCTTGGTGCCCTCCTGAAGGCAAAGGACGCAGTTTTAGGAATCTTGATGTCCTTTACCGTCTGCAGGATTGTGATAAAGATAGAGACCATATTGAAACAAGAGTTTGTGACAGGCACACAAAAGAGAAATGTCTTGGCTCAATAAGCTGCCTGGCTTCCAGAGCAGACTGTCAGGGCAGGACTTTTTTGATTGTAGAAAGAGTAAGGAGCAGAACTTCAGAAGTTAGGAGAGAGTGGTAGTCTCATGCTAGACATAAAAGAAGGAATTTGAGAGCCGGGCATTGGTGGTGCACACCTTTAGTCCCAGGACTCGGGAGGCAGAGGCAGAAGGAGCTCTGTGAGTTCAAGGCCAGCCTGGTCTACAGAGCCAGTTCCAGGACAGCCTTCAAAACAATACAGAGAGACAAACAAACAAACAAAGGAATTTGAGCAAGGGAATGAAGAATTATATTTCCATAGAAAAATCAACTATTCATTAGAGTAGATCAATAGAACAATACAGGAGAAGTTTGATATAACAGGTAGTAGGAAATAACTTCTGATCAATAACTTAGTCAAGCTTAACATCCTGTCTAGTTTTCTGTAACCAGAAGGATTTTTGACACCAATTTTAAGGAAAAGAATACTGAGTTAATAGAATTGGTTTTATCGTAATGTTAGATTTTAGCTTCCATGAAATTTGCTGTTTGCTCGTATTGTTTCATTTACTTTTAATATGCTTATGTAATCACAGAAGGCTTTAGAAAAAGAATGCAACATGAAAAGACTTTGTAATCAATGATTAAAGTTTGCGAGGAAATAATTTTGTGTATAAATAAAGCCTGTGAGAGAGATAGGTTGTCAGAGTAGGTCAAGCCACACCGAGATGCACTTCCTCTCTACCCATCTCTCGAAAAACAAAACTCAGAGATCTCCCTCGTCTGATTTCTCCATCACTACTCCTGCATCTGCCTGTCCTCACAGCCGTCCCTCATCTGGAACTGAACTCCAGCAGCTGAAGGTAGGGTGAGCTCCCCCTCACTGTTGTGATGCAAGAAGGACCTCACTAAGGGCACTGCAGGTCCCCCGGTATAAGACACGGCTGTGTGAGAAGTGAATACTATAAAAATGGAACTGCAGGTCCCCCGGTATAAGACACAGCTGCGTGAGAAGTAAATACTATAAAAATGGAACTGCAGGTCCCCCGGTATAAGACACGGCTGCGTGAGAAGTAAATACTATAAAAATGGGACAGACTAACTCCTCTGGCAGGCAAATATATATTGATGTCCTTAAGAGCTCCCTAGAAAAGAAAAGCATTGAAGTTCAGGAATACAGCTTCTACAGTGTGTGCAAAAGGCTACTCCTTGGTTTCCAGATCAATACATGAGCTGCCTTGCCAGATCCAGGTATAGCTTTATGGTTTCCTTTTTTTCTCTGCCAAATTATTGTTAAAGACTTTGATATCATTGTCTTTTAGAATTAACTTAAAGATATCTTCTAAATCTGTCATTGACTTAAGAGCTTGAGAAAAACTGGATGTTCTGACAATTGGGTCAAAATCTGCCTTGATACTTTTAAAGAAATTTAAATTTAGAGAAACAGATAAATATCTGAAGTTGTTATATAAGACTATTTAGAACTTATGTATTCTCACTAAAAATCAAAATTTTAACAACTAAAGATAATCAAGTTGTGAAATTACATTTAAATGTTTGACAGAGTTGATTTCAAGCATAATTTTTAAGCTTAAATGTTCATTCATAGTTGGTTAATTATATATAGTATGTGTATATATAAGACATTAAAGCTACTGATAAAATTTGAGTTAACAGAGAAAAAAAAGAACTGGTAAGCCAAAATATAGTTGCACCTAGGGCTCAAGGGATGGCTCAGCAGTTAAGAGCACTGGTTGCTCTTCCAGAGGACCCGGGTTCAGTTCCCAGTGTCCACGTGGTGGCTCGCAGTATCTGTAACTCCATTTTCAGGGGATCTGATGCACTCTTCTGTCCTTCTGTGCACGGGGCAGCATGTGGTGCACTGGTATATATGCAAACCGAACACCCACACACACAAAACAAAATCTTCCAAGAAAAACATCAAGCCTATGAAGGCCTTACCGTGAGCAGGGGGTATCCCATGATGCACTGGGCTTGTACAGGCCGACAGACCCCCCCACCCCCCATCCCCTACCCCGCCAAGTGTATTTTCTCTGTCAAAGAGCAGAGTGATGACTCTCATCACACATGTAAAGTATCATGTAATGTATAGCTAATTACAGTGCAGGTGTCACAGAGACCCTGGCTGGATCTGGGTCCTTCAGATTCTCCTCAGTTGAAATGCAGGGACAACTTTGTCCCGGTCTTGGAGAGGCTCTGGCTGCAGGGTTCCTCCAGGCTCAAGGCTGAGACACGAGGCGGCTGCCATTTGTAACATAGCGCTTTCACTAGAAACTTTTGAGTGCCCTGGAAGCCAGCCTTCTGGGAATTCTAGAAGGCACACCACACTATAGTCTAAGATGGAAACCTCTCAGTGCTGACCTCTTAGATCTGGTGGGTAATCTGAAGAAACTGTGAGTAGCTACTGACCAAAATGTGTACTATTTCACTGGAAAAACAAGGCCTCCTATTCCACTTTTTTATTTTTAATAAGATTTGTTTATTTTTCTTTTATGTGTATGAGTGTTTTGCCTACATGTATGTCTGTGTACCATGTGCATGCCTGGTAACCCAAAAAGGCATTGGAACTCCTAGGTTTGGAGTTACAGATGGCTGTGAGCAGCCATGTGGGTGCTGGGAATTGAACTCCAGTCCTCTGTGAGAACAGCCAGTGCTCTTAATTATCGAGCTATCTCTCCAGCCCAGTTTCTTTTTGAATCTACACAATAGACTGTTAACTCATGGCATATAGACCTGACAGGTTTCGGTTTTGCAGCTAATGAGTGACTTTTAACCCACAATTTACAAATTCTCAGCCAAAATGAGCATCCTGTGGGAAAAACAACACTTGACATCGTTAATTATGGAGCTAATCTCTTGGACAGATTTGCATATAAAAGTGATGATGATTAAGACCAGTGTTTTTAGGAAGTCTTGAACATAGAAAAAAGAGAGTCGGGGATGGAGTGTGGATGGGCTCTGGTGAGGGGGGCTGGGACAAAGGAAAGATTCCAAGCAACTGGAGACATTTCCAAGAAAGAATAGAAAAAAGTCCAACTAGGCTGAACAGGTAGCTGAGCTGATAGATCACTTGCTTATCATGCACGAAGCTCCAGGTTTCATCTGCAGCGATGCATAAGTCAGGTATGGTGGTTATCCATTCTGTAATCCACAGCTGGAGGCAGGAGGATCTGAAGTTCAAAGTCCTTCTCCACTGCAGGTGAGTTTCCCTGGAAGAGAGAGAGGGCAGTAGGGAGGAGTTGGTGTGCATGCACACGCGTCATGGACAACTTTGCTGACTCTCCAACTTTTACGTGCGTTCTGAGGCTCAAACCCCAGGCTCAGTTCTCAGGCTTTCCAGACAAGCATTACATAATATGTTGATAAGTTTGCCCTCCAGGTAGTTTGTGCTTTCTTATCTTTAATATGTACATCATTGCGAAGATGCTGAAAAATAACTCTGGCAGCGATGCTTACGGATATCTGCATACTCTGAAGACTTGACTTAGAGACACAACAATACTCTGGCAACTGCTAGTTCAGTGGAGTCGCAGCAGGTTAGAAAGAGGAGCCTCGAGAGGAAGCAAAGCCACTATTTGCAAATTGAAGTTTAAGGTACAGCGCCGCCTAGTGGCCACATTGAGGAACGTCATCAGGGCAATGCATAGGGTTTTCTTTTTAATTTTTTTTTACTCGTTTTGCATACCAACCACAGTTCTCCCTCCTTCCCGTCCCCCCCCCCGCTCCCTCCATCCACTCCTCAGAAAGGGTAAGGCCTCATTAAGTTGAGGCAGGACCTAACCCCTTGACCCCTGCATCAAGGTTGAGCAAGGCATCCCTCCATAGGGAATGGGCCCCAAAAAGCCAGCTCATGAACCAGAGATAGCTCCTGGTCCCACTGCCAGGGACCCCTCAAACAGACCAATCTACACATTTGTCACCCACATACAGAGGGCCTAGTTCGGCCCCATACAGGCTCCCCAGCTGTCGGTCTAGAGTCCTTCGGGTCCCACAAACTTGGGTCAGCTGTCTCTGTGGGTTTCCCCATCATGATCTTGACTCCCCCCCCCCCCATATAATACCTCCTCCCTCTCTTCAACTGGACTCCCAGAGCTGGCTGTGAATCTCTGCACCTGTGCTTGGCTGTGGATCTCTGCAGCTGCTTCCATCAGGTACTGGTTGAAGATTCTATGACGACAGTTAGGGCGTTCACCAATCTGATTACAGGAGAAGGCCAGTTCAGACACCCGCTCCACTATTGCTTGACGTCTTAGCTGGGGTTATCCTTGTGGATTTCTGGGAAGTTCCTTACACCGGGTTTGTCCCTAACCCCAGTAACGGCTCCTCTATCAAGACATCTCTTTCCTTGCTCTCCCACTCTGTCCCTCCCCCAGCTTGGCCATCCTGTTCCCTCCTGTTCTCATCCCCCATTCCCTCTCCTCTGCCATCCTCCTGCTGCCCCCTGCCCCCTTTACCTAGGATATATCACATATTTCCTCTTCCCAGAGAGATCCATGTGTCCCTCTTAAGGTCCTCCTTGTTACCTAGCTTCTCTGGAGCTGTGGGCTGCAGTCTGGCTATCCTTTGCTTTACATCTACTATCCACTTGTCTTTCTGGGCCTGGGTTACCTCACTCAGGATGTTTTTTTCTAGTTCCATCCATTTGCCTGCAAATTTCATGCCATTGTTTTTTACAGATGAATAATACTCCATTGTGCAAATGTACCACATTTTCTTTATCCATTCTTTGGTTAAGTGGCATCTAGGTTGTTTCCAGGTTCTGGCTATTATGAATAATGAGGCTATGAGCATAGTTGAGCAAATGTCCTTGTTGTATGATTGAGCATCCTTTGGTATATGCCCAAGAATGGTAATGCTTGGTCTTGAGGTAGATTGATTCCCATACCGATTTCCAAAGTGGCTGTACAAGATTGCACTCACACCAGCAGTGGAGGAGTGTTCCCCTTTCTCCACATCCTCTCCAACATAAGCTATCCTCAGTGTTTTTTGATCTTAGCCATTCTGACAGGTGTAAGATAGAATCTCAGAGTCATTTTGATTTGCATTTCCCTAATGACTAAGGATGCTGAGCAATTTCTTAAATGCCTTTTGGCCATTTGAGATTCTTCTGTTGAGAACTCTGTTTATATATGTA